TGTGTCCCACCAGACGTGTGTCCCACCAGACGTGTGTCCCACCAGACATGTGTCCCACCAGACGTCGGTCTAACGGCTCCCTCTTCTCTTCCAGCTCCGTCGCCATGGGGAATGTGTTCGCCAGTTTATTCAAAGGCCTGTTTGGCAAAAAGGAGATGCGAATTCTGATGGTCGGCCTCGACGCTGCTGGAAAAACAACCATCCTGTACAAACTGAAGCTCGGAGAGATAGTCACCACCATTCCCACCATCGGTATGGACTCGCCCGTCGTGCGAATGATTTACCTGTGAGGCTGTCGTCGAGTTAGTTTATGTAGATTTATTCTCCTCAAACGTTTCACGTCGTTTAACTAAACGAGACTAAGTTTGAAGTGTTTCTTAAACGCTTTAAATGGTTAAACTTGATAATCTGCTGGTCGGAGCCGCAGCTCCTCTTGCGGCTCGCTCACAGCTCAGTTTGGAGTCGAGTCTTTTCCAGGTCCGGATAAGTTCGGAGGACTAACGTCTGATTTAGTTCGTTTTTCCTAAAAAGTTAAAGCGTTTTGTTCGACTATCCTGAGTTGTTTAACAGATTAAATGTGTTTTTGTTGTCGTTGGTCGGTTTCTGCCTCGAGAGCCGAGTTCACAGCTGAGAAATGTTGGACTTAAAACCAGAATTCACAGACGAACAGAACCGGGTCAAAGTTTCTGGTTCTTTATCAGTTTAGGTTCTGTTAATTTATCTATTCAGATAAAACTTAAAAATCTTGTGTATTAAAAGTTAAGCACGAGTCTGTCTGAAACCTGTAAGAAGCCTGGCCTTTTCAGAACCTTTGACAGAACCTCAGTTCTGCCGGGTCTCACCTGCGGTTCTGTTCTCCTCCGCAGGTTTTAACGTTGAAACAGTAGAATACAAGAACATCAGCTTCACGGTGTGGGACGTGGGCGGTCAGGACAAGATCAGGCCGCTGTGGCGCCACTACTTCCAGAACACTCAAGGTGAGGATCGGACCGGTCCGGCTGCGGTGTCAGCGGACCGGTCCTGCCCGGAGGCGGAGAACTTTAGAGCTGATGACTCAGAGCAGCATTGTTCTTCTCTCAGGGGACGGGTTGGGCTCCTCCCTTCCTGAAACCAAACCAGTCAGAACACGTGACCCGACTGCAGGACCGCTGAACTCCTGAAGAACTTTGACTTGTTGACAGAAACCTGACGGAACCAGGAGGTCCAACAAACCTCAGAGTTTACTGAAGATTTCTTAATTTTTTATTCTCGACTGGTTAAGATTCTGGATCAGAACCATAAATGTGAAGGTCATTAAATAAACATGACACAGCTTCTGGACTGAAAGTTCTGATGATGCCCAGTTACCTGACCAGTCTCGTTTCGAGCAGGAAGTTCAGACGTGAATGTTGTTTCGCTCCCTCAGGGCTCATCTTCGTGGTGGACAGCAACGACAGGGAGCGGGTGAACGAGGCGCGGGAGGAGCTGTCCAGGATGCTCGCCGAGGACGAGCTCCGAGACGCCGTGCTGCTCGTTTTCGCAAATAAACAGGTGAGCTCACCGTCCAGCTCCGGGACGACTTCGTTAATATTTATTAAGGTTTAACATCAACACGAGTTGATTTAAATGTTTTATTAGAACAAGTGCGGCCGTAACTCCACAAAGAACAGTTTCAACAAAACAAGAGTTTATGAAAAAAGTAAAAAAAAAAAAAAAAAAGAACGGGTGAGAAAATAAAAGTTCCATAAATTTACATCTACTCTGAAATATCCTGATGCTGCTCAATAATCCAGGTAGAAAAATCTAAAAAAGTTAAATCTGGTCCTCTGGACATTCAAAAAAACAAAGCAAATCAAAACAAAAAAATATAGAAACGTTTCGTCTCTCATCCGAGAGACTTCCTCAGTCTGAGGTGCTGTATTCAGCTCAGTCTCTTAAATAGCACCTTCTCAGAGTGGATCAACCAGTTTGCTGCTGACAACCAGAACCAGCTG